GCAGCAGACCACATACCCCTGCTTGCACAACAGGCCTGGGCCACAGACCTGGGTCAGGAGGGTTCTTACTCCCTTGTGGGAGTCTCACGCCCGCCACACTTACAGCTCCCCTCTCGCTGCAGGGCTTGGGCACTCGTGAGGAACGCCCAGACCGGCACTTCGCATTCCCACAGCTCTCCATGCCCAGAACTCTCTCAGCTCCTCCAAAGCTGGCACCCACTGGAGCAGCAGACCCCTCAGTGGTCATGCCCAGAGCGACCGCAGATCCCTCACGCTGCTCTGGGCAGCTCCCACTTGCAAGACAGACTTCGGCAGGTGGCCTATGTACTAGACACACCAGACAAGCGACTGAGAGGAGCTAGTGTGGAAACGTTTTCCAGGACAAGTTCTGCTTACGAGCAAACAGCCAGCAGTACCTTCTGACATCAGCCTGGGGCAAGCAGCTGTAGACTTTCATCATATCGAAGGCATTGGCAGTTTCCCAGCCATTTAACAGCAACCGCTCCCGCTGTAAAACGAAGGGGAAGCAGAGCGCGCTGAGAACTCGAAGGGAAATGAAGGCAAGGCAAGTTCCTAGTCTCCCTCGCAGCATTCGCTAGGCCTGCTATCGGCTTGAGGACAGGACGAAGAAATCCTCTCCGATAATAGAAGTTAAGATTTCCCCAATTCTAGGCTTATTAGGAAAGATATTTGCTTTTCTCAAAAAAGTCACCTTTTCACGAGCTGGATACAAGAGGAGACGAATGGTGCCCATGAAATAGAGGGAGTAATTCTTAATTATGACGATGCCACGGGATAAAGGGTTTCCATGGGCAGAGGCAGGTTATACAGTGGGGGAGGCCTAGGTTGGATATTAGGAAAAATGATTTCCCTAGCCGGGTGGGGAAGAGCTGGGATGGTTCCCGGGGGAGGGGGTGGAATCTCCATTCCTAGAGGTGTTTAAGTCCAGGCTTGACCAAGCCCTGGCTGGGCTGATTGAGTTGGGTTGGTCCTGCTTTGGGCAGGGGGTTGGACTCGACCGCCTGAGGTCTCTGCCGGCCCTGGGAGTGTATGATTCTATGAGAGAGACAGCTGCTCTTCACTGGTCTGAGTCTTAGAACTGCCGTGTCTGGAGAAGCTGACGCTTGCCATGAGATCGGTGGCTTCCTACCAGCCGGGCTCGCTGCTCTGAGCGGGATGGACTCACCTGAGAGTCTAAGGATTTGCAAGCTTCCACTCCAGCCAGGCTGCACTGCCTTCTCTGCAAGTTCTCAATCATGATCTGCCCGAATCGATCAGCCATGTTCACCTCGGAAAGGAGAGAACACACCGGGCGGCATTTTTCCTCTTTGAAAGGGGAATTAGCCACAGTGGAAACTAATCCCTCAGATGAGCCAAAACCCTTCTATGAGCCCCAGAAGAGTCACAGCACGTGCCGGGCCAGCTTTTCACGTGTGATCTCCCTCAAATCTTTCCCCACGACTGCCAACAAGGGGACCAGTTTCATGTGTGCGGGGATGGTGTTTTCTCTTCTGTGAGTAACTGAGCATTAACAGCGGGACGGGAGGCCTGACAGTACTGTTCAGACCAATGAAAACTAACAGCGCCACAGCTGCGGCTTGCTCCCAGCTTCATTCCAACTCAGATCAATAACCTGCGAGGTGGAAGGTTCATTACCAATCCCCTCAGCTGCCCAGATCCCCAAAGGCAGCTTTTCACCTGGCACAAAAAGGCTCCCAGAGGGCTGAAGCAACGTTTGCTCAGTTATCAAAGGTGCCAAAGGAACGAGGACTATAAAATGTAATAAAAACATAAGTAATACCGCCCGGTGCTATTGCATTGAATCATGGCATCCGTAACCCAGCATCTTAGGAAAACGTGGTTAATCCAGATTTTAAAAGTCTCAGTTGTTTCATTTCAGAGACTATGGTGGGTTCAAATCCCAACCCCGCAGGGAGCGGCAGGACAGCCAACACTCAGGCTACCCCAGAGGCAGGCAGGAGAAG